TACAACCTAGACCTGGCATCTACCCCAGGTTCCCAAGTTCTCTCTTCGTGATGTGCTCATAGGATACACACACAGGCAGGGACTTGGTAGAATGGCGCAGTGGGTATTCTCGTTCCCAAAGTGATCTCGACGCAGCTCGAGTTCCTGAGGGGGAACGTCTCTAGGTTACGTATGTAACCATGGTTCCCAGAGGGAACGAGACGCTGCGTCTCTTTGCCATACTCCCTGGGGAACCATGGTTACATACATAACCTAGAGACGTTTTTTTCTCTTTGTCTAGCAAAAGAGACAACATTACTTGTGATGTGGACAAAGTCCTCAGGCCGGACTCAAGCACAAAGACATGATGCTGAGACAGAATGAATCTCTCATTGACCCTGATTTTTCAATTGCCCAACTTACAGTATTTGAGTGTACTGAAACATGCTATTCATTTAGAGGTTTATTTGACCTTTTTGGCCTTTGCAGTTGGACTGCAGTATTGTTGCAGTATCCAAGTGCTGAATACTTACTCAATACAATATACTTTTTTCTGTAATGTTCTGGATGCTGTGCTCTCTATTTTTCTCTGTAGTGTCTAATGAGTGCTTTGTAGTGTTTTTTTTATTGACTCGTGTGTGTGATCTGAGAGCACTGTTTGATTTTGTGTGCAAGTGAAATGCTTTTGCAGTGATTGTTTGATTTTGATGGAAGAGTCAGAGGTTTTGTGAATTTAGTTTGAGTATTTGGATTTGTGTTTAAGTTTTTGAGAAAATAAGTGATGGTTTCAAAAAAATGTTTTAGCAATTCAGAAAAACTGTAAAGTCAACTTTTTCATTCCATAAACCTAACGATTCATAAAAATGTGTACATTCACACACTACTGTTCAAAACTTTGTATTTCAAATGAATACTTTTATGTATTAAGGATGCAACATTAAATTGATCAAAAGTGACAGTAAAGACTTTTACATTGATACAAAAGTTGTTGTTTTTTCAATTTAATGCTGCCCTTTTGAACTTTCAATTAATCTAAGGATACTATATATATTTCCAAAAATATTAAGCAGCACAACTGTTTTCGACATTGATTATAATAATAACTGTTACTTGAGCACCAAATCAGTGTATTATAGAATAATTTTGGAAGGACCATGTGACACTGCAGACTGGAGTAATGGCTGCTATAAATTCAGCTTTGTCATCACAGGAATAAATTACATTTAAAAAATATATTAAAATAGAAATCATTAATTGTAATAACATTTCACACTATTAATTTCAAATAAATGCAGCCTTGGTGCATTTAAAAAAACATTTTAAAAAATCATACCGACCCCAAACTTTTGAACATGTACATTAAATTCTTATATTTTAGATGCTGTGAACACAATAATAATGCAAATTTCAGTGCCTATGCTTTCAGCTGTATCATTTTTTTTATTTACTTTTAGAAGAAGGACCGTCAGTGCAGATCCCAACTCCACCAGAAATACTCTGAAGCCATTCTGTTTATTTATTCATGAGCAAATCAATGCTTTTGACTCATGAGCATAATGTTGTAATCTTTCATTAGAAACTTGAGAAGACAGTGTTCACATAGGCAACTAGTCACTTAAGGGAGATTATTGTGTGTGTGGGGGGGCACAAGGGATGGTCAAATTATCCCAGAAACTATGGGGGGGGAAAGGACAAGAGAGGAAAAGTGGAGCAGGTGGAGCTATTACGCAGATGTTCTTGCTTGAGTGTACCAGAGAAGCAGTGACCTAGTTCTGTTAAAGAACTGAACATTGTGTGTGTGTGTGTGTGTGTGTGTGTGTGTGTGAGAGAGTCCATGTGTGCAGGTGTAGACATTAGCATGCATTTCACCATGTGTCTGTGTCTTTATGGTAGTTTCATAGATGCTCAGTAATCACAGCCTCTCCAAAAGTTTCATGGTGCCAAACTTTAGTGTCTGCACATTGCCACCGGCAATCACTCCCACTGTCAGATTGTAACAGGATTTCTTATGCTGTCATGTGGAAGCAGTTCTTCCTGTTCTTCATGAGGCTTAGAGGGCTGTGCACACCTCAGATGACCTGCGTCCCTTAATAAATCTTAATTTCCTCACTTACCACCAGCATTGTTCTCTCTATGCTGCATGCATGCACAGCCAAACACCATGATATTGCTTCAGGTAAAATGTGTGGGAAAAAGCTAGAGATTTTTTGAACCAGATCAAAATGAATGGACTGAGTTTCAAATGGAGCACATCTGCAAGTCTTTTGACTTTAATTATGGAACTCAAGCTATCGGATATCTTGTGCATGGAAATAAGCAGCACTGATTAATTAATTGGGTAAATTGAGGTTTTTAAAAATGATTATTACAAAAAGCACAACAGCAACTTTAATCTAGCATACTTTAATGCTCCACTGCGATCCAGACACCTGAATCAGCTCTTTAACAAGCTGAAAGTGCTTGACTAAACCGCTTGTCTTGATATATGTGGTTATAACTATCTTCGCTACCATCTGATAATCATTATTTCTGCCATGATCAGTAGACACAAGCATCTGTGCACAAATTTTACACAGACATCTCTAAAGATATCTAAAGATTTTAAATGCAATAAGATGCATTCTATCAGAAGTCTCGTTTGCATAAGGAGGAGAGTTCACACTGAAAATAATGGCAATGAGTTTAAATACTATCCATTGATATATATGTAAAGTATATTTCAAATGTTTGTAGTCTGTAAAATTTTATGTTTTTGAAAGAAGTCTCTTATGCTCTTTGGTGCTCAAGGGACATCTAAGTTTTCACACAGAAATTATGATTAGTTAAAACATTTGCTCTAGAATTTACAGTACATTTTGTGAAACCAAACTATAGTTCCCTTTCAGTTGGTCACTCTCGACGTCACGTCGGAGGACCGACGAAATTGGGATCTCGCTTAGAGGGACCAATGTACTTCGAGTGTAAACTAAACGAGCCAATGCACATTGGCATGCGATTATTGCATCCAGCTGCTGCTGATCACAGCGTGAGTATAAGTAGGCAGCAGGTGCAGCGCATATTCAGCTTTTCGCTTCGGAGCCGAGTGATCACATCGTTCCGCTCCTGACTCCTCTACGGAGAGAAGACTGAACGAGTTCAGCTTAGTTTACACTCGAAGTAGATTGGTCCCTCTAAGCGAGATCCCAATTTCGTCGGTCCTCCGACGTGACGTCTCCGTTCCCTCCTTCAGGGAACGAGGGTTATATACGTAACCGAGACGTTAATAGTTAAAAATAGTTAAATATAAATAAATAAATAAAAGCTATTTTAAGCCAATTTGTTTCAAATATATAGAATTTTTAGAAAAGGAATTTCTAAATGAACAATAATCTGCATGCACCAGCATTAAAACAAAGGCAAGAAAAAAAAGTAGTGTACACACCTGTTTTTCTATGCACATTGTATGAAATTATTAGTGAATAAAGACCCGTTCACACCAAGGACAATAACTATAAAGATAACGATAAAGATAAAAATCTAAAAATCGTTCTCAATATTAAAGAATAGCAGAGTCCACACCACAACTATAACGATAAAGGCACAGAGGAATGATATCATTGGAATCACTTTCAAAACGAATTTTTTCCAGCTGATGAATGATGCAAAATTGACAGCCAATCAGAATCCATTCTGCTGTAACGAGCTCAAGAATTTAAAGTGGCAGACGCATGTGCGCTTAGAATAAACACACGATATCGTTCACTGGTGTGGACGCTAATATCGTTATCTTTATAGTTATCGTTCTTGGTGTGAACGGGGCTTAAGGCTTGTTAACTTCATTTACAATTTTACAACAGTGCTATTAATTTGGATAATGGGTGGTTTGTATAAGATGCATGATTTTGTACTGAAATAAAAAATAATATATTTATATATATATATAATGTATGTATTTATATATTTATTTTTTTTAAATAAAGTGGTATTTAAAATATTGTGTTGATGGTCAGAAAAATTAAAGGATCATTGACATAATACTGTAGTATTACAGATAGGACCTGCACTTACAACCTTCACAGAGCAAGGGTAGAAATATTGGTTTGTCAATGTGTCTTCTAAAAGAGAATTCAATACATCGATCACACCTTGGAAACTTGATGCATGTTTGTATGAGTAAAGGACTTGTCTCATCTGCATTTCTAAATGTGTTCTGGTAAGCTGGGTCTGGTGTAATGCTTATGTTTAGGTTAGTTGTTTATCTGTAGTCTGTCAGCTCATTAATACAGTGGTCTGTCTCCCATCAGTTGAGCTGCAGTGATTCTCTTATCACAGAATGAACAGTGTACTGAGTGTATGTGTGTGTCTGCTAGTTAGATCACATTGAAACACTCTGTTGGTTCTGCTCTGTGTCTCTGTTTGCAATCATGGTTATGTATAAATGCACGATGGCTTTTTACTCACATTTTCATTTGTGCAACCCACTAAAAGCTGTTTATCTGTGCATCTTTTGACTGTCGCTCTTCACACTGGACATCAGGGTTTATTTATTTCAGCAGTTAAAGCTGCAAACACTGTGGCCATATAAAAAATGGCCTGTTGTTTGTCATGTCAATAAAGCACACTAGTGAGGATGAGAAAATAGCTTTGCAGAGATAGTGATTTATTTCTCTTTGTAGCCTCACTATGCTCATAAATATCAGCAGAAATGCATGATTTATCTACTGTAAGTTTGGTATCAAACACACATCTCAAAGCTGACATTCAATTTTATCCAGTCCAAAACCTAAAACCCTAAAATGACTGTAAAAATGGTTTAAAACAGTTTTAAAGGCTTAAATATCACACCGTTTTTAACACAATAATTAATATACAGTAATTGCTTTTATAAAATTATAAGCTTCACAATTCTGCTTTTAAATCCTTCAAAAATGAGCTCCATTCAAGTGCTTCACCATTACCTCTATGTTTGCTTTGTTTAGAGAAATTATGCCACAAATGCTAACAGTGTGTGTGAGAGAGATAGAAATGAAAAGAATGACTGAGAGGATGAAAGAGGTTATGCGTGTATGAATATTCAACATATCTGCACCAAAGCAGGTTCTGCAAACCTAGAACAGGCTATTAGATCAAAGAGAGTAAAACGGGCCGCTCACGTGATTGTGGGCACGTTCGATAGTCTCATCACATCACGTACGCACACTAACATGCATTTCTTTGCCATTTTGTGTCTTATGCTTTGCAGAGATAGTGATTTATTTCTCTTTGTAGCCTCACTATGCACATAAATATCAGCAGAAATGCATGATTTATCTACTGTAAGTTTGGTATCAAACACACATCTCAAAGCTGATAAGTGTGATATCTATCTCTGGTATTACCGATGCATGTTCCTGTTCATCCCCTCCTTATCTTTTCACTGTATTCTCCCTCCATTTTCTCTACACCTAGTTTTTGACCTTCCATTTTGTCCTTCAATGTCTCCGCTCTTCCCATTTTTCTTCGGCAGCCACGAAGTGAGGGACCAGAGGGGGTTGGGCATGCACTCGCTCAACCTTTCCCCTCTTTTCTCTCTCTCTTTATGTCTCTAGAAAGGATGAATATGTTGTATCAGATATAGCATTTTAGATAGTAAGGCACAGAATTAGTGATGGTGAGGTGTTAGACTTCAGAGAAGCAGAAAAGTTCACTTTGCAAATTTTCTTTTTCTCACTTTTCTTCTCACTTTGATAGTCTGTCTGGAGAACGATTGATACATTGCTCCATCCTCTCTCATATTGAGCTCAAGGCTGCCGATGACTTGAGGCACTGAAAGATGGGAAGGAGGAGGGGAGCTGCTAAAAAGATGGATTAGTTCTTTGAAATTAAAGAACAACTTTTTTTCTCCTATTTTTAGATGTAAAATCTGCTGGAGGGTTTGATGAAACTGTTTACTTGGACTGCATTAAAGGAATATTCTGGGTTAAGTTTAGCTCAATCGACAGTGTTTTGAATATAATGTTGATCACCACTAATATTATTTTTCAATTGTTCCTCCTTTTCTTAAAAGAACAGTGTTTGAAATCTTTTGTAACATGATAAATGTCTTGTACTGTCAAAAAAGATCAAAATAAAATAAAATAGCCGTAAGATGTGAACAATAGGTGTGTTAACATGAATTTAGTCAGAAAATGCACTTATTAAGCTTCTTTATGTGAAGTTACATTCAATTTTATCCAGTCCAAAACCTAAAACCCTAAAATGACTGTAAAAATGGTTTAAAACAGTTTTAAAGGCTTAAATATCACACCGTTTTTAACACAATAATTAATATACAGTAATTGCTTTTATAAAATTATAAGCTTCACAATTCTGCTTTTAAATCCTTCAAAAATGAGCTCCATTCAAGTGCTTCACCATTACCTCTATGTTTGCTTTGTTTAGAGAAATTATGCCACAAATGCTATAGATGGAGCTTAACTTGTATTGTGTTTGCCTTAAATCCTGCATTCTGTTTGATACAAGAAAGGTCATGTGATTCAAGTCCTTTATCTTATTGACCCTTAATTTCAATCACTCACAATCGTACCCTCCTCGGGAGGGTTCTCTTCCTGGGAAGAACAGGATCTCAAAGCCTCTCCTTCTCAGAAGCAGGCAGCCTCACCTGTAGAGAGGGAGAAGAAAGAGTGGGAGACGCAGCAGAGATACTGCCCTCAGGGTGTAAATTCTCATTTATCTGTTAGTGTCCATCTCTCCATGCTGGAGGTGAAGGATAGAGCGGGCTGGGGAAGGGATGAGGCAAGAGCTTATCTATTTGAGAGAGACGGGGATTTAGAGAAAAATCATATCAAAACCCTTCACCTTTGAGGAGTGTATGCGTGTAACAGTCTGACTGAGTCCACACACAGTCCACACACTCCTATCAGCTCTGCAATGTTCTCACATCCGTAATGACAACCTCCCAGTCCAATTACAGAAAATTAACACACAGTATACAAGTACTGTATTTTTGTGTGCACAGAATGAACTTCGGTCATCATTTACTCAGTCTGCATTTTCATCCAAACGTAACTTTTTTCTTCTGTATACACTGTAAAAACTGCAGCAATTGCTACCTTACAGAGATATCTACCTGATCTAACCTCTAGATTCAGTTGTGTTGGTGTAACCTACTGTATTTAGGCTGATTCACTGATGTTAAATAATATTTTCAAATAAGTTCTTGAATAAAATCTATTCATTTTGATGTTACCACATGCAGCACATTTTTAGACATTACAAAAAGAAGAATAACATGAACAATGTCATTATTTTCAGTAAAAAGAACGTAAATGACAAAAAAAGTGGTATTAATGAAAATAAAGTCATTTTATGATGTGTTTTTATCATAATGGAGCTCAGCAGATGACAACCCAGATCCTTATTCATTGTCATATGAAAAATTGTCAGTACATGTTATGGCATTTCTAATTTTGTGTTCTACATAAAAGGCCATACAGGTTTAGAACATCATGAGGATAAGTAAATTATGTTTATTATTTTAATTTTGAGGTGAACTATCCCTTTTAGCAGAATTTGTTCTCAAAACACTGATGTTTCCAGCCTAAATATCACTTGCTAATCATTTACTGTAGCAGAATTGCAGTCAGAACTTGAAAACCAACACACGCTATTACCATTGTACCTGTGCAAAGAATGTCAACCAGAATATACCCATCATCTGCGTTCCCTTGTCATTCTCTTTCTATCTCTGTGGAGCTTCAAAATAAATGTATGTAAAAACTTGCAGTCCTTATAAAGCTATTACAGGAAGAGAATATGTATGCATGTCTGAAGGACTAACATAACACTAACATTGGAATAACATTTCACTGCAACTAATCACTGATTGATTTGATGTCATATAAGAATTTCTCACATCCTCAACATATTCCACGTAATACATCATAATTTCCATCAGACTGAAAAGATGTGTACCTCTTTATCCATAAATTCATTAATTCATCCAACCGTGCTTGTGAAAAGCATGTTTCCATGCAGAAATCATTGCTTTGCATGGCATGGGGGTTTAAGGATGTTAGTGCACAACTTTTGCTGTTTAAAAAAAAAATCTCCAGGGCAAATGATGACCATTGCGATGTTTCCCTCTCCTGTTCTCTCTCTCTCTCTGCTGTTTTATAGACCTAAAGTGAATCCAATTTTCTCCTATCAGCTCTGCAATGTTCTCACATCCGTAATGACAACCTCCCAGTCCAATTACAGAAAATTAACAAAGCCTCGTTGAACAATTCTAAATATTTAACGAGAGAGATCTCTACATGCTCATAGGGCTAAATAGGGCCATTGCTGGGAGCAAATGTGCGTAAGGTTATGTGAGAATAAGATAACATTCTGGAAAAGCCTAGGACATATCTGCTCTTTTGTATTAGCATGAATGATTTAGCAAAAGTCGCTGTCTGAAAAAAAGATACAATTGCTGGAGCTATTAAGAGGACAGCATTCTTAGCTAGCTGTGCGGAAGTCTTACATCACTAGCATTGTCTCTGTGCTGAATTCAGTTCAATTTAAATTACATTCACCAACACTGACGGCAGAATTTGGAATCTCCAATCGTATTTGTAATAAAGACCCATAGCAATGTGCTGCTGACTGATATTATTGTCATTATTTTCTTCGCTACTGACCCGTGAACTGTATTTTGGCTTTGTAGGATTCCTCTCTGCTTGCTTAATACTCAAGCCAGAGAACAAAATGTGTCTTTTTTTTTTTCTGGCCTGGCAGCCCTACGGTAATCAGAATGTAAGGTAACATGAATGCACAATTAAATATCCAATATTGACTGATATGATACATTTACATTTATGCATTTGGCAGACGCTTTTTATTCAAAAAGACTTGCATTCAAGGTACTCATTTTATCCGTTCTTATTTTTCCTGGGGATCAAACTCAAAACGTTGCCATTGCTAGTGCCATGATCTACTGTTTGAGCTAGAGGAAGGCTCTTTTATTTAGTCATTTTTAAGAAAGACATAAAATAACTATTGACAATTTGCTTATATGTTATTGAAATTGTATGCATTTTGTGCAAATTTCTGTGTTTTCTTTAAATTGTTTGACTTTAATTTGAATGCATGTCACCTTAAAGTCTATAGAGCTATTATATTAGCTCCACACTGGCGTATAATGGCTGGAGAAGTGGTGGTAGTGTTAGTTTGTGTTTATATGTGAATGGAGGGTTCCATATGGCTCCATATGACTGGCCTTTGCTTGTAAATTGAAAAGGCGGTAACATAGGGCTGTGAGTCTAAAGAGTGAGAAAGGGATAGAAACACATACATATAAACAGAGAAAGAGACTTATACTAGCTTTCAAGCAGCTGGTGATGAAACAGATGGACAGGCAGCAGCCACATAAACCGGAGTGAAAGAAGTAGGTCAGAACGAGGGAGAAACGGAGAGTGAGCGATTGTCTGGAGCGACTGAGCTGTTGAGGAGAGGGAGAATGGAAATTATGGGATGGGTTTCATGCCCTCTTTTGTTTTCATCTCCATTTTCATCTCGGGTTCAGGGAGGAGACGGTGTGATGATGCCACGGGAGGCAAATGGGGGCCAGCTGGCACCTGAAGTGGTGTTGAGTGACATTGATTGACAGAAGTCTCTACTAAATTACAGGAAACTCCAGACTGTGTTATTCATGCCGAGAGATGTGACAGCACCATGCAACTTGATGTACATTGTGAACGTTTGTTCTTTCAGTTTTTCACACACACACGCACACACACACACATGCATGCACACAAACACATACACCCGCTTCAGATTACCCTCTGAAATCAATCTTATCACTTATGTTTGTGATATACTGTATTTATAACATTATGTTTAGAGCATTTTCCATTATCTGATTCTCCTTATTTTTTTATTGTTACTATTATTATTATTATTATTATTATGTTGGATGGTATTCAACTTCAACCATCAACTTATCAAAAAGGTCTAAATGAGACTTATAATTTTTAATTTGTATAATTTATTTCTAATTAGTTTTCATTTGTTTATCACTTATTAGTTTAAACCATTGTTAGTTTTTTTTCTAGGATTCAGTTTATTTAGCTTCTATCAAATTCAAAGTTATTGAGCTATCTGGAATTATTAAAAAATGTTTAACATAAAAAAATGTTAGTGTTATTGCTGTCTATTGGTATTTTGATTTTTAATGCAGGTGGGTATTATAGATTATATATCATATATTATATGCACAATGCATCAAAAAACAAAAACTGAAATTAAATTGTGGCCATATTTATTTTATTTTAGATTTGAAGTTTAGTTTCTGTTTTTCCCAGTTATGTTAGTTTTTGTTTTTATTTCAGTTAAAAATCTTTTCATCAAGTTCAACTTGATTTAAGTCTCTTTTTAGATTTCATTGACATAATATCCATTAGTTTTCATAATTAAGGTGCTTCAGGCACCACAACAAGCAGTTTAGTTATGGTACTCAATGAAAACAAGCTTTAGTGTTCGATGAAGCCCAAAATAAATGAGTTGGAACTATGTTAAAATACAATGCAGCAATCACAGACATTTATCAAAGGACCCCATAAGTTTACCAAAAATTATTAGATAATTTACTCTGTAACTTTTACAAAAGCTGTGTGTGAAAAACAAAGACGTGTTTATTTTGGACGGGATAGAAATCACAGAGTTAATTAATTCATGTGAAGCACAAATTTTAAGTGACTTCCTCAGGAAAAATAATGACCTCTCATGCGGTGTACAGCATTCGATATTTAACAAGAAGTGAAGCACCACTCTGCTATTTTGAGCTCAGAGATCATGACATAAAGGATCAAGCTAGCGGTGCAAATTTAGCTCATTAAAAGTAACAGGCTAATCTCCATCTAATGATCACCTCAACATCTGTCAGCAATAGCTCGCGTTTGGAAACGCCACCTGCTTCAAAGACCAGGCCCATATGAACGGCAACTACCTGACAAGCACAAGTCATTTCGCTATATTTCCTTTCAGGCTTTTTACCCATTTTATCATTCAGATCATAAAATGGGCACAGATTGTGTTATGAAACAATAAGCAGATTTATCAGTCATGAACATGAACTAGATTAAAGGTTGAATTAGCAGAGAAGCTGCAGGGCCAATTGAACAGATTTTGAGAGATAGTGACACATTGATTCACTCCAACAAAGAACCTAGAGTGAATCAAATGAAAATAGCAAGTCATTTTTGCACAGCATTTGCCCACCGTCACTCATGTGTGTTCAGGATCAATGACAGCTCTACGACACCAGACAGATTGAAGCATGCTTGTTCTGCATTGTCAGCTGTCTGTTTGTGGTTGTTATTAAAATACACAACAACACATTGCTGAAAAGGAAAATTATATAATTTACTAAAAAATTCACCATTTATTGGTGGTTTGTTTTTCTTCTTGTTTTTAATTTAGTTCAGTTGTCCTCCATAAAAGCCCATATCAAATAAATAACAGTACCTTCCTTCACTTCATGCTTTTCATACCATTGACTTTCATAAAAGTCAAGGGACATGTTGGTTTAGCGTGTTTTGAGAATAATGCTTATATTTAATGTACTGTACACTACCATTTGCTTATCTGTCTCATCAAAATGTTTCCTTTTCCGTCCTTCTCTCTATAGTTGACTCCGGCGCAGCCCTGTCGCGCCCACACGCTAGCTGTGAAGAATGGAGGCTGATGCCATTTCCAGCCTCTGTCAGCTCGGTGTGAATGGGTGAAAAACAGCATAAGAGGATACAGGAAAACAACACATTAACCCTTGGCCTTCACAAAGCACACTGTGGACACTCAGAAACGCTGCTATTGATATCAGCAGCAAGCTGTGGGCTCTATTTCTCCTACTCATCTGCTCAATTACACACACATTTCACTGACATCCTCCTTTGTGATATCAAGTATACTAGAATGCGGGATACTTCTTAGGATCATAATTCATCTTTTTTGGTGTCATGTGCGGCTTCCTATATGGTTTACATAAAGCTATAAATGGGCAACTGCATCACAAAATCATTGTTCTTACAAAAAGTTACCATGGTGTTACCAAGAGTATGCATGGTTTCCTATGGTGTGCTTGGAAAAATTTTGACTTTCTTTTGTTAAATCTATGCAGAAAAAAAAACTGACACCACCTGACACTATCACAGACCATGCTACTGCCAAAGTACATTTTGAAAAAAGAGGTTTAGTGTTGCTGGAAAAATTATTTCCAATATGTCTCCAACAATATATGCAGTTAAAAACACAACTTCAGAAAACAAGTGAACAATGACAACATGAACAATGACACACACTGACAATTAGAAGTCCTGTCCTGAGCTGTACTGTATGCCCTGCTGCTTCCTTGATAAACGAGCAGCACATACTGTAATTGGACTCAATTATTGTTTTCCTTTCTGTCTTTCTTTTTCTTCTCACACATATACTGTTGTATAGGCAGTTAGACTCACCTACTGTGAACACATCTAGGTATGTGACCACAAATACTTATTTGTGGACACACACAAACGAATTTTGTGTGGCTATTTTGAGATTTGTATTTGCACTATTAAAAAGTAGCACATTGGATTACCATGTAAAACCACAACAGTACAGGATAGAGTGGTGTATGTGTTTTGCTTTTGGGACTTTAATGATGTACTCCTCTTCTTAGGTACTCATGTAAACAGTGTACAGACGTCTACCCGAACAGTCGAACCATACCTAAAGGCCACGCTCGGTCCCGTAGCGTCACACGCTGTCTGACCAGCACTCAGGTAAAACCACAGAGTGTTCACATTACATGTAGTTAGTTTTCCTAGTTGCTTTAATGATTTATTTTTCTTTCAATAATCATGAAAACTGGAAGTATTATGAATGTTGAAATGCATTGCTACGGTGTTGTACTGGTTGTTTGGGATATCTGGGTGATTGCTAAGGCAACAATAGGTGATCGCTAGGGAGTTGTGCTGGTTGGTTTGGTAATCTTGTTTGGAGTTTTGGTGATAACTAAGGCATCTTGCTAGTTGCTAGGGCATACTTAAGTAGTTATTACAGAGTTATGGGTAGTTGCTAGAGCATAACTAAGTGGTGGCTTGGGTGTCCTGCTAGTTGCTAGGGTGTCCTACTAGTTGCTAGGGCATAACTAGGAAGTTTCCAGGGAGTTCTGGCTTGTTGCTAGGACATAACTAGGCAGTGACTTAGGTGTGGTGATTGCTAGGGCATCCTGCTAGTTGCGAGGACATAACTTGGTAGTTGCTAGAGAGTTTTGGCTGATGGGCATAACTAGGCAGTGGCTTAGGTGATCTAGTGATTGCTAGGGTATCCTTCTAGTTGCTATGACATAACTAGGTGATTACTCTGAGGGAAGAAACTGTTCCTGTGTCTGGTCGTTCTGGTGCTCAGAGCTCTGTAGCGTCGACCAGATGGCAACAGTTCAAAGAGGGAGTGTGCTGGGTGTGAGGGGTCCAGAGTGATTCTGCCAGCCCTTTTGCTCACTCTGGACGAGTACAGTTCTTGGGGAGAAGGGAGGGTTGTACCAATGATTCGCTCAGCAGTCCGGACTACCCTCTGAAGTCTTCTGAGGTCAGATTTGGTAGCTGAGCTGAACCAGACAGTTATTGAAGTGCAGAGGACAGATTCAATAATGGCGTAGTAGAACTGTTTCAGCAGCTCCTGTGGCAGGTTGAACTTCCTCAGCTGGCGAAGGAAGGACAACCTCTGCTGGGCCTTTTTCACAATGGAGTCAATGTGAGTGTCCCACTTCAGGTCCTGAGAGATTGTGGTGCCCAGGAACCTGAATGACTCCACTGCAGTCACAGTGCTGTCCATGATGGTGAGTGGGGGGAGAGCAGGGGGGTTTCTCCTGCAGTCCACGATCATCGCCACTGTTTTGAGCGTGTTGAGCTCCAGATTGTTGAGACTGCACCAGACAGCCAGCTCTTTAACCTCCTGTCTGTAAGCAGACTCGTCACCATCCTGAATGAGGCCGATGAGTGTGGTGTCGTCTGCAAACTTCAGGAGCTTGACAGAGGGGCCACCAAAACCAAAAAAGCCACAAGGCATTCAAACAATATGAGTGTTAACATGGTTTAATTGTAAAAAATAATAATTTACTAGCCTTTTTTTGTGCAGCCCTATTTACTTCCATTGTAAGTGCCTCGCTGTAACTTCAATTTTGCTTTGATTAGAGAAAATGAGGGACAAGATGAAAAAAAGATTTTGTGGTAATCAACATAATGCCACCAATATTATCAATATACCAGTCACTAAATATCGAAATTTTGTACTACCACTACATTTGAGTCTAATTGTCCTGTTGTTGTTTGTTCCAGACGAGCCCGTTTTAAACGCTCCAATAGCGTGACAGCAAGTGTCCAGGCTGATCTTGAGATGGAGGGTTTTGGTGGGCTGACGGTCCCCACTCAAGACAAGGGCCTGCAGTTCGGTTGCTCATTCCAGCGCCACTCGTCCGAACCGGAATCAGCCGGTCAGTTTGCAGAGTATCGCACAGTGCACACACAGGGCCAGTGGGCCTACCGTGAGGATTACCACAGCGGTTACACCAACGAGCCTGGCCCTCCAGAACTGAGGGCCCTGCCCCGCTCCCACTCCCCTCTGCCCCTGGCCCTTGAGCGTGGAGTGGGAGGCTGGAGCGAGGGTCTGAGGAGCCTCCCTGATTCGGGCCGAGCCTCACCCTGCTTACGAGATGGAGAGTTCTTCCTCCGGCTCCTGCAGACAGAAGTGGAGAGGATGGAGGGATGGTGCCAGAACATGGAGAGAGAGGCAGAGATGAATGAACTGCCGGAAGACGGTGAGTGAGGAATAGCAGAAGAGATGATTGGAGTAAACATGACATGGGCTAAAAGGCCCAAAACATGAGTTTTCTCTGATTTCATGGGGTCTTGAATCTGTAGTGTTTTGCCCACTTAACAGTTCCTTCTGTCTAAATGCTGTTTTTTCCCCTTCTGATTGGTTTGTTTTGTGGTTCAGTGTTGGAGCTCATCAGAGGAGCTGTCGGCAGTGCTCAGATGCTCATGTCACAAAGAGTCCAGCAGTTCTTCAGGATGTGCCAACAGAGTGTAGTGAGTGTTTTGAAACTCTTTCTGTTGTGGATAAAAGGGAGGATGTCCTTACCTTTTTTTTTTTACCTACATATGACCTACACTGTAAAAAAAAAAATGCAATGATACAGTTATCTACTTTAACTACAAAAATCAGCTTTTTACCTTAAAATGTACTGATAACCTACTAACCTCCATAATAATATAGGTGGTAAAACAAAAAGCCACATGACATGTTAGAGTTCATCATAAATTTGACTATTTTATAGTAAAATTACATATACATTAGTGCTGTCAAACGATTAATCGCGATTAATCTCATCCAAAATAAAAGTTTTTCTCTGGAAAGATGAATGTGGCCAAGTACAGGGATATCCTGGACGAAAACCTTCTCGAGTGCTCAGGACCTCAGACTGGGCCGAAGGTTTATCTTCCAACAAGACAATGACCCTAAGCACACAGCTAAAATAATGAAGGAGTGGCTTCACAACAACTCTGTGACTGTTCTTGAATGGCCCAGCCAGAGCCCTGACTTAAACCCAATTGAGCATCTCTGGAGAGACCTAAAAATGGCTGTCCACCAACGTTTACTATCCAACCTGACAGAACTGGAGAGGCTCTGCAAGGAGGAATGGCAGAGGATCCCTAAATCCAGGTGTGAAAAACTTGTTGCCTCTTTCCCAAAAAGACTCATGGCTGTATTCGATCAAAAGGGTGCTTCTACTAAATACTGAGCAAAGGGTCTGAATACTTAGGACCATGTGATATTTCAGTTTTTCTTTTTTAATAAATCTGCAAAAATGTCAACAATTCTGTGTTTTTCTGTCAATATGGGGTGCTGTGTGTACATTAATGAGGAAAAAAATTAACTTAAATGATTTTAGCAAATGGCTGCAATATAACAAAGTGAAAAATTTAAGGGGGTCTGAATACTTTCCGTACCCACTGTATAATGTTCAACCATTTACAGTTTTTAACTGTATACATTATATAAGATTTCCTTTAGATTTTGGATTATTCCAAAAAATAAGCTCTGCGACTAAGAAAAGTTTATGATTCTTACATGTTTCATCATGATAATTTTTACAAATGAACACAACTTTAATGAATTTGGAAGCCTAAATACAATCTCCAGAAGTAAAAAGCTAAATGTAGACTATAAACAAACTACACCACGGTCACATGACATCAGCGTCACCACCATTAAGCTTCCAACAAGTGAGAACATGAGTTTACCTGTCCGGTGTGATGTTTACCCAGCAGGCACCTTGATAATAAGAAGATAGGAAGTTAATCCCACACTGAAATTGGTTTAATATATATGTAGGCCAATATGTTTGACGTTCAATTTGCATCAGATCAATGTCAAGTTTTTGACATCAGTTTGCATATTTGACTTGGGGGGTAGGGTTTACGTCAAACTGACATATTTTCAACATCAATTGCCCACTAGGTAATGTCTCAGCATCTGTAGCCCCATTTAGCCACTTGTTAGCAATTGCCTTTTTCAAGTAAAAACTTAAAAATAACATTACTAATGTATTTTATGTCATATAATAAAATGTGAAATATCTTAGGCTTACTGTATCTCAGACCTTATTTCAGGCATTCAACCCCATTAAGCACATTAAAAAAAAAACACTGACTTCGGGAAAATGGAACTGGAAGTGCTTAAATGCTAACTCATTTCCAGGTTTTAGCCTGCAAAATATGTCATCCCTGCAGCACTCTAATATCCCCCCTCTTCTCATAGGATCCTTCATCATACCCTCAGCCCAGCACTCAAGATCTGGCCAGTTATTGGGACCTCCTCCAGTTAGCCATCGAGGACGTCAGGGTGAAGTTTCAGGACCTCCAGCGGCTCAAGGAATCGGGCTGGAGGTTGCCTCCTGAGAAGAAGGTGAGAGTGGAGATCCGCTCTGCTCCAGTCACTGCACAGCTCCACTCCAGTGCCAAAACAGCAGCGAGCAGGAGAACCGCCCGTGTGCTGGGTCCCAGCAGCTCTCTGCCATCACACAAACACCTCAGCAAGAAATGGAACTAAACTAGAAAAAAACCAAGACATGCATGATTTACTGCCTAAAGAGCTGTTTGTTTGCTTTGAGATATTAAACCTTAACAAATCTGTAACTAATTTCTCTGTTTTCTTTCTTTTTACTGTCTGCTGCTTCCACAATGTCATGTCTCATCCTAAATACACTAATCCAAATCATTGCTGTCCTTTCTCCGTACATGTCCTGGTCTTCATCCTCTGCTTGCACGTGTGCATTTTCGGTGTCTTTCCCTGCGTTCCCGTCCATCCCTGCATTGGTCATCCATGCTGTCACGCCACTCCCCTGCTCTTCCTCTCAGGAGGACAAGAAGGTTCCACCTCCATTACCAAAGAAGCCAGTCGGTGGCGTGACGGGCAGCCTGCGTGCTGACAGCACGACCGAGGCTGGAGGCATGCTAGTGGTCTCGAGAGGACGTAGTGTTCCCGAACGGGAGAAATCGTTGGATGTAGGCGACCGCCAGAAGCTGGAGACACGGCGCAGGCTGCTCCAGACCAAACGCTCAGCCTCGTTCCGCCAGAATTCTGCCACAGAGAGTGCTGACAGCATTGAGATCTACATCACAGAGGCTCAGACGAGACTCTGAGTCAATTGGACCACTTCAGAACCCCTTAAACAACTACTGCGGCTCTTCTCTGGCCGTCTGCACAGACGTCCAAGTTACAAAGCAGCCAGAGAGCGAGTGCAATTACTCACTGATGGGGAACTTGAGATGGCTTACTAGTATGCTGCTGGTGTATGGATGTGAGCTTACACATTTTATTTAAATTTTTTTGTTGAGCAAGTGTTTCTCAGAAAAAGGGCTCAACCAGCACAACCAAGTGTAACAATATTGAGACTTGTAATTGTAAGTCTACACAATATATAAAAATGTTAGTACTGTTTTAACGAACCACACCATCACATACGGGTGCAATATCATATATTAAGAGGTTCTATATATTTATTTTAAATAATAGACCTTGTTTTGATATAATCTTGGCTATGTATGTGTTTCGTAATTGATCCCACAGTACGGCGTAGCCACTTTCACTGTGACACAAGTGCACTCTTGTGGCCAGAGTAGAGCAATGCACCCTGATGTAAATTTGCGCCTGAAACTGAATGTTTTAGCAGTACAGTAGTAAAACCCCTGAGAGCAACTTTTGCAGTATAGATAAATGCCTTTTTAAAGCCAGTGATCAAATTACCACAGGGATTCATCTCCCGTATAGTGCAATATCACTTTGCAATTGCATTCAGGCTTTTCATTAGCCCAATGCAAAGACACACTTCTTAAAAAAAGATGAGAGAGAGAAAAAAACAACAACAGAAACATTCAAGCTCTGAGGCAACAGCCATGTTTCCTGAAACAGGACGGTCTACATCATAAGACTCTTCAGAAACAGGGGTGCAGTAGACAATCTTCAAACAATATCACACTTGACCTGCACACTGAAAAATGATTCAGAGAGGAGGGGAAACTTCTTGTTAATTTCACCCCTCTGCCTTTTTTGTAACAGATGAAAACCCTCTAACATGAAATCAATGTAGCGTCTATATTTTGCCTGAGTGCTTTAATTTATTGTTTACTTAATTTTTTTTTTGCTTGTTTATTTTGTTTCTGTTTTTTTTTTTTTTTACTTCTTAAAAAAAGATGAGAGAGAGAAAAAAACAACAACAGAAACATTCAAGCTCTGAGGCAACAGCCATGTTTCCTGAAACAGGACGGTCTACATTGTAAGACTCTTCAGAAACAGGGGTGCAGTAGACAATCTTCAAACAATATCACACTTGACCTGCACACTGAAAAATGATTCAGAGAGGAGGGGAAACTTCTTGTTAATTTCACCCCTCTGCCTTTTTTGTAACAGATGAAAACCCTCTAACATGAAATCAATGTAGCGTCTATATTTTGCCTGAGTGCTTTAATTTATTGTTTACTTAATTTTTTTTTTGCTTGTTTATTTTGTTTCTGTTTTTGTTTTTTTGGGAGAAATTAGGAAATTAATGAAATAACTTTTTCTTCTGGTTAGTGCCAGTTCCATTTTCCACAACTTATCTCAAAACACTTAAAAACTAAATAGTATACTTCAGATTATTTTATAGAAAAAAAAAAAATCAGTGTCCACTTCACACCAAATGTTAATTGGTTGGTTATTGATTATTGATTGAAACATTAATGAACATATGTGATAGGAAGAATGGATTATGTGTTTGTGTGCATTCAACTTCTCAATTGGGTGAAAGCAAACTGGAAACAAGATCACACAATAATTTTTGCAAACTCCAATTTTTTTTTTAAAGGAAAACGTTTGATTGCATGAATGATCTTAACTTTTTTTGGGGGGGGGGGGTATTTAACTATGGAATAAGTTGGACAAATATTTTATTGGGAGATGTATATTTTATAAAGTACATTTTTAGATTAGCAGATAATCATGTTGTCAAAAGTGGTGTTAAAATATGTTATAAAAGTGTCTAAGAATTTACAAGGAAGGGATGTGACAGCTCAGTGGACTTTAAAGATGACTTTGGGCAACTCACCGCAGCAAACTTCAGCGGATTCGTGTTGCTTTCCTCATTTCTTTTGTCAAACTTGAAACAGACTGGCTAAAGACTTTTTGACAAAAGAATATATGGTTGACAGCCGCTTGCCATGTTGTCCATGGGCAAAAAATATTATCTGTTTTCTATGTCTTGACTATCTACATGTGCCTAACAGCACTATGTGTGGCTTTTTAAAATCTAACTATTCAGTATTATATTCAATACAAAATATATAACTCACACAATATATATTGTTCTAATAATTTGATTTGTCACACCTGATCCAGCTAATAACCACCACACACTGGATGTTTCTATGTAACCTGCATGCTTTTATTAATCCATGAAAAAACAGAACAAACGGTTCTCTCAAAACTGTAGATCTTTATCCCGTCTGAAAAAAAAGGGCAGGAGTATTTATCTAATTATTTACAATAACTACACCTACATTTCTGTATCTAAACTCATTTGATTTCAACAATTTTTTCAAACAGTTTTTTCAGACATTTGCACTTTTTTCATTTACTGTTGCCTATCATCTCTTTTTATTTATATATTATTTATTTATTTATTTTATGGATACTTTATGGATAATATATCCATCATTTTATGAATACATATTTTTTAAGCATCAAAATGGTTGTAATCACAGTCAACGTACACATTTTTTGGACGCATCAAATCTAGGATGACAGAAAAGCACAACAGACTAATTCCTCTTCCACTGTGAAGGACTTCCTGCCTTCTCAAAACACTGAAAGACTATATGTACAACTTGCCGTTGGGGTTTCCAGTCCGAGAAATAGGATGATCTCTTATCAGGGCCATATGTTTTTGATATACCAACGAAACTTAATTTCAAGCAAGACCACATTTTCCCCTTGCCATGATGTTTGCCTTCTCAGGCACTGACAGGAATCTGACACTCAAACGGACTGATCAGAAAGACTATTTTGATGGCCTTTCTAGTCTAACCAACGTTTTCCAATGTAAATGGATTGATGGAAACTAATCAAATACAATATTTAATGGCTGTGTCTCTCGCTACATCATGTAAAGCTTCCCATGTCAACACATGACCCGAATCACCCGATGGTATGTTGTGTTGGTTCTTGAGAGACAACCGTGTCTTAATAGGTCAGAATGGATGGCTGAAATTCTGCCATTGCTCCTTTAAGCTGAAAAACGAGTCTAAGAAGTGTTGGCGAAGCCTCTATGTATGCCGTAAACAGATTTAGCTAGAGTAAGTGATGAATATTTCTTCGTAGCACAGAGGAGCTTGTAGCAGTGTGACGTAGACGTTACATTGGATTCTATAACGCATTACAGATCACTGGAAATTAAATGGGTCATAGACTTACAAACAATTACTGTGTAATTAAAATACCTTCTCACGTTCTGTTGTATTATGTACAGTAAATATATCTGTTGGAATTGAAGTTGTTATTAATATTAAATGGGTTGTTGATGATTACTGGTATTATTAATAATTTAATATACAGTATCTCACAGAAGTGAGTACACTCCTCACATTTTTGTTAATATTTTATTTTATCTTTTCATGTGGCAACACTGAAGAAATGACACTTCGGCTGAATTTGCTTTGATGACGTTTGGAACCATTGTCATTGGTTCTATAGTATTCAGCTGCAAACCCACAGTGCCATCTGTGACAGCGACTTCAGGACAGGAGTTCCAGACCAGACGTTACTGTGGATATTATAGCATTACAGAGGTTAGCGATAAGGAGGGGATAGGCATTCTCTAGGGTGGAGTTTATAATTGTAGTGAAGTTAGGATTAGTGGTGGGGATGGGTCAGGTGATCATCAATTTTGCCCTAACTTCAATCTGAGACTTCTGGTCCTGCCTTGCTGTCCTGAAACCGCTGTCACGTACAAAGTGGTGGGTAAACAGCTGGGCATATCTCATTGGTAGAGATGAAGGCAACTGACAAGATTGTGTTTAAAGCAACACCATGTAACATTTGCTCACAGTTCCCCAATGTGGTTGATAAGCGTAATTGTCTGTTACCAGTGTCGTAAATACTGTCACTGAATAAGCTTGCCCATGGGCAGTTGACTAAGCTGACGGAACCGGCCAATGGAAAAAAAAATCAAATTTGGAAACCATGTCCACCGACCAGATAAAGTAGCCCATGTTACACTATGTTCTACAAATATCATTACATATTTTTATTTAGCGTTACTCCAAAATTGAAAATTACAATGACAAAAAAAAAAGGGTAGTAAGTTTGCCTAGTTGTTTTGCTCGCATAGTTCATATGTAGCATTGTTTGCAAAGGGTGTAATTTGCTCGGCCATGGCGCTGGTTTTGAGACTTGAGGATATTAGATCGTTTCGTCTTATAGTTAGCTGTTGGCTAACTCCACCCAGGCTATGAGTAATATATGTGACGTATGCCGTAAAGCAGGTCACACTCTTCCGCTGGCAGGGGATGGGCGGGGCTGTGTACACCAACCCCAACACGAAACTTACAGTGTGGTTCTAGCGGCTAGGAGGCTGCTCAGGTAGCAGCGACAGTAGAATTTGTCCAGTTAAGAAGTGTTCTACCACTGAAATAATTTGAGACATTATTTTAAGGTTAAAAAAAAAACTACAGTGTTGCTTTAAAATGTGAGTTCAATATTAAAATTCTATTGAATCCTTGTCTAAAAGCAACCCCATACTAGTTATGCTGCCGTTGGTCTGAATAACAGCATATTTGGATGGAATTTAGAAAAAAATTGTGAGATACTGTACCCAAAAATAAAAATTTAAGTCATTAAATCCCCAATAAATCATTCCACACAAACTTACGTTTATCTTCAGAAAACAAATGAAGATATTCTTTCTAGCCTCTCATTTTTTGACTGATAAAGTTCAAGCACATGTCCTTGAGTAAACTAGCCTCATTTTAATTTTTGGGTAAATTATCCATTAAAGTACTTGTCCAAGAACAATGCAACATCAATCACAGTAAAATGACTGTGTGCAACCTAAAAATACCCAAGCAATACAAAACATTTTTTAAAATAAATTGTCATTAGGAAAAAGAAAAAACAAACAGTTCAAAAAAAAAATTTATAAACACTTTACTTGATCCATCAGTGATAAAAATACAAATTGAAGAGAAAAAAAAAACATGAAACCAAATTAAAAGTGATTTTCAGTCCTTTTCCTAGACATAACCATATCAGAATGAGCTGAGGTTAGAAGATAGAATTCTGACTTTGCTATGACAATCTGGCGCTTCTGAATCAGCTACTGTTTTGTTATTAGTTTAAGTATTTGCTATTGACTGTTCAAATGCGGAGTTTTGCGCATCGTGTGTGTGTGAGAGCGAGAAAGAGCGAGAGAGAGGGGTGGGGGGGGGTCACATCACAGTGGAGTCAACTATGGAAGTATTTGAAAAATAATGTGTTTTTTGAACATTAAAGCATGTCAACATATTCTGTTACACCAAATAATGATCTTTAAAAAAAAGCATCAAATGACCCCTTTAAACAACTGAGAGATTATCCTAAAACGTCATTTTTAAGACTTCAGAGTTAACATGGAGTGTGATTAGGTACTATCATCTGCTGATACATGGCTTAACTGGCATGCGCAGGAATCATTTGAGTGTTTTGTCAGCATTTATCTCAATGCAGAATCAGTGTACCTGTTCAGCAGAGGTAGGAGAGAGGTCTTGGTTTCTCTTCACCAGACATTCACTTAAAGAAGTCTCATCAGGGGCCGGCTTCACTCGAGGAAAGGCCATCTCACACTGCAAGAAGTGATTTATGAGCTGGAGGCTTATTGTTGCACAAAGCAAAGAATCAATGTAGAACAGCACTTACGACATAGAAGTCAAATGGTATGTGAGGGACAAAGGGCCGATACCTGAAAGAACAAAGCATAGACAAGGTCAATATGAAGAAATTAAAGTAAGCAAATTAAAAATAATAATAAAAGATACAAGCATATACATAAACAACGCACCCCTGGATCAAACCTCCGCGGGAGCCGAACCGGCCACCCCGGCCCCTGCCACGATCTCCTCTGTGAAAAACAAAAGCAGTCATTTCACTAAATTAAAGGGGGGACCAATCTCAAATTTGTGTGAAAGAGGTTACGTTACTTGACAAACAAAAAATAACTGTAGAGAAAACGCAGTATATCACAGGTGAAACGAGCATCATTGTCCATGCTAATGCTCGGTTCTTCGTTCATTCATTCATGAATGAACAATCTCCCGTTTTTCGGACATATAGCGTTTAAAAAAAGTTCTAAATGAGGATTAAATCCAACCGCATCGTTTAATCCGTTTTAACGCATGTACTTTAATCATAAACACATTTTATTTATTTTATTCATCAAAAGCACAACGGCTAGCAGAACAGCATGCTAACAGGCACCGGGCTAGCTAACCACCAACATAACAAATAATAATAATAAAAAATGCTACAGTTTGATGAACCCCGGTTTGTAACTTAATCAAGTGGATGTTATTTTATTTAAAGAAGAAGAATAAAACAATTGGTACCTCATTGCGTAAGACGTTTTGTCAGTTTAAGAAGAACACACGCTGGTGAGAAATACCCTGCTGCCTCCGACACTGCGCTTCCTTCTTCTTCTTCTTCTAATGACGTTTTATGGCGGATGGCAAACCAACTTCTGGTGCATTTACCGCCACCAACTGGACTGGAGTGTGAAGCACTAACGAACAACTAATGATGATAATAATAATAATAAAAAAGAAATAAATACTCCTGATTAATCCTATTTCTTTGATATATTTTATAATAGCACCATATATTTTACCTTTTCTGCATGCTTTTTCAAAAGGCTTGTCAAATTAAATGATTCAACACCCATGTTTCTTACTTCCTTAATGAGTTTTAACCTTTCTTTTTCACACACACAAGACATACAAAATATGCAGTGCTGGGGGTACTCCAGGACAGGTTTGAGAACCAATGCCCTAGACCAGGGTTCCTCAAATCTTAACCTGGAGGTCCAATGCGCTGCAGAGTTTAGCTCCAACCCTGATCAAACTCAGCTACCTGTGATTTTCTAATGATCCTGAAGACATTGATTAGCATGCTCAGGTGTGTTTGATTAGGGTTAGAGCTAAACTCTGCAGGAAAGTGGATCTCGTGGGCCAGATTTGAGGATCCCTGCCCTAGACTGAATGGTAATGTATCACATTTTCCATAAAAATATGAACCAACACAACTGTTTTCAACTTTGATAATAACCAGAAATGTTTCTTGAGCAGCAAATCAGAATGATTTCTAAAGGACCAATAGAAAGGCACCATAAAAACAGTCCACATTCTGCACTACATTCTTCTACAAGCACTACACTACAAGCACTAGCACTGCATTACAAGTCTTCTAGAGCAGAGCAGAGCATTGTGTATTGCATTTAACTTTGGTGATATTATGATCTCTCTGATGATTTACAATTTGTCATATATACACCAGGAAAGACAATAATGTAAAGAAGTATGCCAGTCATTCATTAATGTTAATGATAAGAATTTAAATTAAAAACAAAAAATAGATGGCATTTTATTTCTGTATTGTGTTATATTTTTTTGTTAGTAAGTGGTGTTAAAAATTGCTCTGTGCGTCATGAGCTGGTGGGTTTATGTAGTGTGTTGCAGACCGGGTGTGGTGGGCCATTTTTTAGCCCCAGTCAGCCCCTGCTCCGATAATTCTAATAATTGCATATTTTTAAAAGCTTAATCAAATTGATTGAATTATAATAAATTACAATAAACAAGCAAATTAATAAACAATAAATAAAAAATAAAAAAAAATTATTGGAACGTTTCTTGGCACATAAAATACCACGTTGTGTCAGGAGCCGGTTCATTCCAGCGAAGTGATTAAAAGAACCGAATAATGGGCAATGTGTCAGTCCAGTCTTGTAGCTTCACATTGAAAGTTTCTATCCAAACACAAGAGGGCATCAGAGCATCATTCTCAACACTTCTCAAATCTCCGTTTTAGTTGAAAATCGATTTTCTTCTGCAGCATTAGGCTATAGCTGCTCATTATGATCAATAACGAATGTTTTGTCTCTGTAATCGCATAAACCCTGACATCAGCATGCATATTAATTCCTGTATGTGTTAATATTAAATGATAGCATTTTAAAGCAAGCCACAACATGGCAACTTTTATTACCTCTGCTCAAAGCACATCTTCTAATTGGCGTTACATATTAAATCCCTCTTCCTGTTGTATATGCTGCACAAATAGTTTACACAAATCTGCAACTGACACCAAGCCAAAGAGGTGAGAAGTCATAAATATTGAGGGGCCAGAACTGCTGTGCTGGTTTAATTATCCTTACTGATTAAAAGAAAAACCTGACGCTTAAACCGATATTTATATTGTCTATACTATGGCCCTGTAAAATAAAATTGACTAGGAAAGTAAATGGAAAATATTTGAGCATTCTGTACTAGCATCATTAAAAGTGGAATAGAGACAGTGGGCAGTGCAGTGCCAGTTTTGTCTTAATGAATGAAGTGACTCAGCTGTGTAGAAGAGGCTCATTAGTAGACTTCAGTCAGGGTCTTGTGCCCCAGGCCATAGTCTCTCATGTACAGCCTCCCCCTTGCTGGCTGAGCCACATTTGGACGTGCTGTAGAACCAGGGGAAGCTATAGAGGAAGATATATGGCCACTAAACCCCAAATGTGTGATGGTTATGCTCCTTCATGCAGGTCAGTGGATAATGTAATTTAGTGTAATGAATCTAAAATGCATAGAGTGGGTTCACGTCACTGTATATGCACACAAACACACAACATTTGAAATAAATCTGCAATTATTCCTCAGCATTTGATCTTGGAGTAGTTGAAACCTGCCATATTTCATTCCAGCACATGTGACGAGATGTTTACTGCAAGCAAACCCAAAGGTCACTTACTTCCCCATTACTGCCAAGAGCTGTCACACATCACATTCCTGCGCAAACATCCCACGCAGGGAAAACACAGGACAGCTCGGTGTCCGGTAGACAGCGCTTGTGGATTGTTTCTATTTATTATGCAAATGTTAAAACATTTCACTAGTTGGTTTTCTGCATGAGTGGCATCTTTGAAGCAAATGTCTGGTTGCTAGTTGACACGCACATATTTAACAGAATGGGTTTTCCTATTGCTGTCTGTTTGTGCAATCGGTGTATTGGATGTGAGACTAAATACAGAGGACTTTCATTTTGACAAGAAGTTTTATATTACGACTTATATTATTATGCTCTTTTACAAAGTCTTGATTTTGTTTTGGGGGTGTAGTGTACTAGAACATGCTCTCATGCATCCCCAGCCTGACACAAACGGCTCGATTAGTTCCAGGTTTGATGAAGGCCCGCCTTCCGAAAAACTAAATGTGTTGTGATTGGTTAGCTATCCCAGTGTGTTGTGATTGGCGAACAGCTTAGATGGTGTTTCAGTACTGCACCGCCCCTTGCCAAAGCAGTAAGTTCCATCTGCTCTGGTATAGTTAAGGACAGACCCCGAGGATATTGAACAAGACGATCGCGCAGAATATTTGCACGCACGGATATTGCAAGACATATTAGAGTGGTAACGCTGTTGTTGTTTTTTGTTTGGCTAAATCACGTTTTAGATAGGATGTCAACAACCGCTTAAAAACAACTGCATTTACTATGTACAGATAAGTGCATATGTATTATGTTTATTGTTCTTTAATTCTAACATTATAACATGAATTGCAGTGAAACTGTTATACAGTTGAATTTATTTATACCATAGTCCAGTGTTTCCCACAGACTTGCACTCTATTTGTGGTGGCATCTTT